CAAGGAAATGGTTGACAGAAGACTTGAAAAGTTGAAGGTTGTATGAGTCAGGAAAACATGAAGATGGGAGAGAGTTCCAAAGGGTTGATGTGCAGGGTAAAAAACTAGATGAATAAAAGTTTTTAGAGCATGCAGGGACAGATACAGTAAACGAATGAGACTTAGCTGAATGACGAGTAAAACGAGAATGAATTTTAGTTGATGAAACTAGAGATGATAACTACTTTGAGCAGTGACCATGATAGTATTTGTAGAAAAGAGAAAGAGATGCAACTTTACGACGAGGTTCAAGCTTAGCAGATAGTCCAGGTCCAACAACATTTACAATGCGTTTTTGGACCTTGTCAAGAAGAGAAAGTGAATCGTTAGAAGAACCAGCCAAAATATGACAACAGTATTCCATACAGGGACGAATAAGAGATTTGTAGAGGCAGAGAATGGAATCAGAAGTAAGGAAATGGCGAACACGATAAAGAGAAGCAACCTTAGCAGAAGCTAATTTAGCAATCGATTGTATATATGGTTTCCATGAAAGGTCAGTAGTAAGCGATAATCCGAGAAGACGTAAATAGGACGACTCAGTAAGAGGATTGCCATTCATTAATATAGGAATGTTGACCATATTACAGTAGTTGTTTGCAGTAAGCAATTGGGTTTTTTTAGAGTTGAAATTCACAAGCCACTGTGAACCCCAATCTATTACTGAAGTGAGATCAGATTCAAGATCAGCTGCTTGTTCTAGGCGATCGAAAAGAGAAGACTTTTTATCAAGACAGGAGTATAAAGTTGAGTCATCAGCAAAAAGAGCTACTTTAGATGAAAGGTTGTCAGGAAGATCGTTTATGTAGATAAGAAACAAAACAGGGCCCAGGATGGAACCTTGGGGAACCCCAGAAGTTACTGGAAGTAAAGAAGAGTGTTGGCCTTCAAGGATGAATTTAATAAACCGGTTAGAAAGAAATATTTTGATAATCTCAAAAACTTTCCCAGAAACACTATATAAAGCAAGCTTATGGAGAAGACCAGCATGCCAAACTTTGTCAAAAGCTTTCGATATGTTGAGAGCAATAGCCCTAGCCTCACCGCCTCCATCTAATGCACAATAAAATCTTTCAGTTACAGCAGTTAGCAAGTCGGCCATAGAGCGAGAGGATCGAAAACCGTATTGATTGTCTGACAGCAGTTTATTTGACTCAAGATGCGATGTGAGGAATTTGTTGATCAAAGACTCAAAGACCTTGCTAATAACAGAAAGAAGACTGATTGGACGGTAATTGGAGGGGTCAGAATTTTTTCCAGAGTTTTTGAATATTGGAATTACAGATGCCATTTTCCAACAAGCAGGAAAACAAGACTCAGTCAAACACTTGTTAAATAGTTTAGAGAGAATTGAAGAAAGTTCTGGAGAACAATTCTGCAAGACTGTGACAGGAATGTTGTCTGGACCACAAGCTGTAGACGAGTTTAATTGAGATATGACTTTAGCAACAGAAGCCGGAGTGATTTGAATGTCTAACAATGGGTCAACCTGTTTGACTGGAATGGAAGGAAGAGAATGTCCATAAGATTCAAGAGTGGAATTAGAAGAAAAGTTCTTTGCAAATAGTTCTGCCTTATCCTTGGGAGAGGTAATAAGATCAGTCCCATGAATGAGAGATGGAATGTTAGATCTACCCTTGTTAACAATGCTGTTGAAGATTTTCCAAAAGTCTTTAGAGCCTAACTTCTACAATAAGATGCGAGATTTAGTGAACTGAGAATAATGGAGTTTAGCATCAGAAAGCACCTTTTTACATCAATTTCTTGCAATAATAAATAGCCGTTTGTTCTCAAGAGAGTTGTTCTTTTGAAAAAGATGAAAAAAATGATTACGATTGGATATAGCAGCTGCACAAGACGGAGAAAACCATGGAGTAGAATAAGGCTTGACTTGAAACCGACGCAAAGGAATAAAAGCTTCCATTCCAGCCGGAATCCAGGAGGTTACGTAGGAGGCGCATTTGTCAGCTGAGAGAGAAAAAACATCAGCCCAAGGATCATCACGAAAAAAATCACAAAAGGAATCCCAGTCAGCTTTAGGGTAGTAGTAGGTGGTGCGATGATAAGGTGAGCCCAAAAAAGAAGTACGAGAAGAAAGATTTATAGAGATCATTGCATGGTCAGAACCACCTAAGGGAGAAAAGGGAGAAACTGAACATAAGCTAGGGTCAGAGACAAGACATAAGTCAAGGAGTGAAGGTAAATGATTAGGGTTGTCAGGAAAACGAGTCACAAAGTTAACTATCTGAGTAAGAGATTGAGAAATGCAGAAGTTAAAGGCTTTAGTGCCAGCAGGATCAGTTGTTTTAGAGCCAAGCCATTCAGTGTGATAGGCATTAAAATCACCAACAACAACAATATTGGCAGAGGGGTAAAGAGAGAGGGCATGGTCAATTTGATCAGAGATAACATCTAAAAGAGTGCAATCATGGGAAGAAGGAGAACGATAAAGAACAAAGAGAAAGGTGATAGAGTGAAGAAGTGCTAGGCGAAAGCACATAAAAGAATGGTCAAAGGATTCGAACCTGATTTCATGACAAATAGGGGAATTAATGCGTATGTATACCCCTAAACCTAGCATAGGACTGTTTGAGTCTTTAGGAATCAAAGGATAGTAGTCATCAACACTGACATCTGAAGAAGGAATTACAGAATTTAAATTAGTTTTGCTGAGTGCAAGCAAGTCTGGTGAATTTTGCAGGAGGTAAGACTCAACTGATGGAAAGTTGCTTCGTAGACCGCGAATATTTGTAAAAGATATATTAAAATATTTAGGTGGTGGGGATGGTTTTTTAGCTTTTAAATTTTTGGTTACTTTGGTCATGATTTGGGTTTAATAAGAACTTGACTCATTCATAGATAGAGCACAGCCTCCTAATCAATGAGCTATGCAGTTGTCTCAGTCCTGTTAATTAACCCTAAGCCGTGACATAGGGCTCTTTATGTGGCCTTGACAATGCACACCAAAAGCATTAACAGGGACACCATCCATGCGCAACATGGCACTGTTAATACTCTGATATTTTGCAGCTGTTGATGGAATCAGCCTCTCTGAGAGCTACCACAGAGTTCAGGAAACCTTACCACCAGCCGGCCTCAGAACCATTAAACTGAGTTTTAGAGCTGTACCCTCATATGGAGATGACAGAAAGAGTTGCATAGCCATTACCAAGGAGGCATAAGCAAAATTCTATGAGTAGAGTCAAGGAGATCCAGCATTCATCATCCTAGGCAGGAAACAATGTAGCACAGGTTACATCTATGCCAGCCTAATAGATGAAGAAGGGGTTCAAGGCTAGTTAGCAGAATTTTTCTGCTTACCCCTAAAGTCTTTGCCTAGGAGGCCTTCTACTAGACAGTAGCAGGATGCAGTTAACATCTGCCCAAGATGAGTATTTTTATCGAGACACCATCTCTAGCCTTAACTCAACCAAGAGCCTTAAGGCAAGGGATGTTTAGCTGGATGCAGTTAACATCTGCCCAGATGAGTGTTTTTATCAAGACACCATCTCTAGCCTTTACTCAACCAAGAGCCCCAAGGCAGGGGAATTTTTAGTTGGAGTTTATTTCTCCTAGCCTTTGCATAAGAAGAGCACACTCTGCAAGGCAGCAGGGCTTGTGGCAGGTGGTACTGGGTTACGTGATACCAGTAGCAAGATTGATCTTGATTATCCTGACCTGACCTGGAATTAGGAAACCTAAACTATTACCTAGAAAAATTAACCTTGAAAACAGAATTAAATTGACTTAATTTTTTTAATATTCAGAATTTTTATCATCGTAGATCTTTGTATTTTAAATAAAATAGTTTAAATTCAATACTGCGCATTTTTTTAGATAGACTTGAAGTCTTATTGAGTTTTTATCTCTTGAAAACCTTGTTAGTTTACATTGAATTGCATTACCGGTTTATAATAGTTATGTAAGTTTTTTTACTTGAAAAAATATAATATGCTAAATGTCAATTTTGCGCATAAGCTCCACTTTTAGCGCCAAAAAGGTATTTATATGGTGTTCATATAACTATTTTTATCAATAATAAAAACGGTAAGAAAACAAGTTTGTTGTAGTAATATAGTATAATAATGTCTTTAATATATTAAATATTAAGATAAACATATTTTTAAACTTGATAAAAAAAATTTAAACTTCGCTTTTACTTATTTAAAGGCGGTTAAATCAAACGCAATATAATATTTATGGGCTATTATTAAATTTAAAAATTCCACGCGCTGCATGTCATTAAAATTCGATCTATTTATCTACTTTTCAAAAAGGCACTCCTTCTTTTGCAGACAAGAGATAATAATATAATAATAAAACTGTTAAAGAACAGTCATTAAAACTACAATTAATAACAGCGCTTTTTTGGGGAATGAATGCCTCAATTATCAACATATTTTATAAGTTTGTCTAATAGTTTACATTAAGTTTAAATTTGTCAATTTCAAATCAACGAATAAAATTTTATTTTAAAGAATTAAAAATCTTGTCGGACAAAATGTCCGATGACTTTGTAAATTGATCGGAGAATCTGAGGTTTTAGCCGGACATAGTCCGATGTCCGACTGTTAAATTAAGCCCTGTATATATATATATATATATATATATATATATATATATATATATATATATATATATATATATATATATATATATATATATATATATATATATATATATATATATATATATATATATGTATGTATATATATATATATATATATATATATATATATATATATATATATATATATATATATATATATATATATATATGTATATATATATATATGTACATATATATATATATATATATATATATATGTATATATATGTATATAAAGAAATGTTACCTAAACGAGTATTCATAATTTATATATAATATATATATATATATATATATATATATATATATATATATATATATATATATATATATTTTGTTATATTTTAAATAGCACCATCAATTCCACCTAAAAATATATCAGTTATTTCAACCAATACAAATAACATATTATTACAATGGAAACCACCTGATCTAAATGAATATCATGGTGTTTTAAAAAGTTATAGTATTTTAGTAAAAGCTGTTTATTCAGAGTCAGTTTTTAAAGTTCAAAGTAAAAGAAATAGACGTAATCTTGACATGCAAATATATAATGGCAGCTTGCTTTTAGAATGGTAAGTTTTTTTATTAATATTTTTTTTTTAATTTAAAAAAAAAAATTTAAAAAGTTTGATTTTTAACTTCACTCATTCATGTAAGTTATGCATAACACCTAAATATATGTAAACATATTTGATTGTTATGTATTATGTTACTAAACTGACTTTTTGTTTTTTATTGTTGTTAATAAATAATTTATTTTTTTAATTTATTATTAATACTATTAAATTTTTCACACTAAAAAATTATGTTGTTATATTTAACAAAAATATAACAGCATTGAGACAGGATATAACAGCCAAACTAGGATTATTATGAGTCATTATGATGTTATTATGCTATTATTTTTTTCACTTATATTTATTTAAATAACTGAAAAAATCTAAATTAACCATTTATATATAGGCAATTCCGCAAGAAAGGGTGGAAGATAAAAAGCAAAATTGTTATGAGAACGTATACTAAAATCCATAACTCTTTTTTTTAACTAATTCAAAATACTTTTAAGCAAAAAGAATATTAAAAAAAAATCATTTTATCATTCCATAGCATGCTTTTATTGTTGTAAGGTTTGTATAAATGTGTTTTGACGCTTATTTACACTCCTGTTGTGTAGTGTTAAAAATTGTATAGTAAAATTAAAAATTAAAAATCGTATAGTTAAATTAAAAATCGTATCCATAATTGATATCTTTGATAATGCTGTAGTGTATTTTTCTAACATAATATACATGGTTGTTAATATTGATTTATACTTTTTTTCTTAAATCATTGATTGTTTTGTTTTATTTGTTGTTTTAAAACATTGGATTTTTTGTTATGACCATCACGATTATGACCATCACGACAGAAAAAAACATAAAAAGGTTTGTAAAACTTCAAGTAAAAACTTTGAATTTCAGCATATAATAACATCAACATGTTTTAAATACACACACCAAATTACATTTTTTTTACTATGCTGTTTGCTGCATTGAGTCTGACAAAGTTGTTTTGTTCAGAAGTTGTAAAAAGATATTGCTATGACTGTCACACTACATAGAGTTAATTTTTGAAAAAAGTTGAAAACTTTAATGCTGTAACTATAACATAAAGTATATAACTAATATATAATATAACTAAACTATATGATAGTATTTCACATTTCTGGAAAGTTTCAAGTCATTTCCATTTTTGTTTTGTTTTTAATAGCTTAAAAAGTGTCAAATGTTGCGATCACCATTCTTGCAAAATTGTCCATATATAGTTTGTATATATATATATATATATATATATATATATATATATTATATATCTAATTGATAACAATAGCTTGACCTATTCATTATTATGATTACTTTCTGTTGTGATTTTCAATTAATTAGTTTTGCTAATTATTGAAAAAAGTCACGGGTTGTATTTTTTTATTATTATAACGTTTTGTATGATAATCATTAATTGTTGACAAGAGTCACAAGTTGTATTTATAATTTGTATTTAAGTTGTAATTTAGTGCTGTAATATAGCAAACAATTTTTTGTTAGAAAACAAGATTTTTGATAAGTAAGAAAAAGATTATTGAAATCAAAATGGCTTTTAAATATGTAGAACAACACTTTTATTGCAGTTACTGCTAGTAATACATAAATTATGCATTATGTTTTAAATTAAATACAATGATAGTATAAAAATAGTTTCATATAAATGATAATAGTTTTCTAATATGTTTATGGTTTTAGTTAACCACTCTAACCAAAAATTAGTTTTCATCAAAAGATTAAATAAATTTTAATCATTATATAAACTCTAAAATGTCAATTATTTTAACGAAAGCTCTATATCTTAACTAGTTTTTTTGAAATTGCAACTTGAATCAAAAATTAAATATTTTATAAAATAATAAAATAAACAAATAGTGTTATTTAAAAAGAACTAAAGAATTAACTGAAGTTGATAACTTCAGTTATTTATTTATTTCAGATCAAGAAGTTAACTGTTTGTACAAGTATTATAAGAGTGCCTCTTCTTTTATTTTTTTTATTTTAAGCATTCTTTTAGCAACATCCCTTGGAGAAGGTCCATCAGTGAAAAAAAAATGAAACGAATAAGAGAGGTCTAATAAATAATAAATAGAAACAATAATGTATAAACCTTTTTTATTTGTACCTAAATCCATATTGACCACTTCACATCCTGATCTGCTGTGCACGCCATATTGTATTGAGTTATACAAAACTTGAGAATCATTTTTTTCAGGTACCTTCAATTCATAAAGTAGATTATCTGATCTAATTTAAGCAAACCAAATAGTTAATTATCTAATCTCCAGAACTTTAATTTAATTCAGCTAATTTCCATGTGATTTTAAAATTTTTGTTTTGTTAGGTTTAAATTTTTACTATTTTCTAAAAATAAATTTAAAAAATCCTATTCTACAACATTGAGTGGATTATTTAATACAAAAATAATTTGGACATTTTTTAAAATTTATTATATAAAATCAATATAAAGAGGTCCATTAATTATTAAATGTTACTTATTTCTTAAACATAACTTCCTTTGCTTTTTTTAAACATTTTACATTGCAAACCAAGTAAACTTTCTAAGTGATTAGAAGATCTTGCAAATGCAGAATGCAAATTGTTAAAAAGTTATATCATAAAACTAATAATATACTTAAAAATTGAGGATAAAGATGTGGATAAATCAAAATTGCGTTAACAGTGGTGGATGGTTTTGATTTTATCTTTAAACACTGTAAAAATATAAACTATAAGATGCACAACATAATTACTGAGACATGTGAGTACTTTTAATATAATTACTGAGACATGTGAACACTTTTAAGCCGCCGTTTATTAAAAAATTAAAATTTTGTTTCTTTATTCGCAGTTATTCAGTTTAGTTTATTGAGAATTTTCTTAATTATTTCTGAATTTCTCAATGCAGAGTACCCAATTCTAATACTGGTGTCGGATCAAGCTCGGTGTGTTTAAACTAAAACAAGTACTGCCACTAACAAAGATTTACTTTTTTGAACTTTAAGAATGTTTACTTAAAGAAATAACATAAGAGAATAGCGGGCTTTAACGTTAGACAAATCCTTTTTACAATGCTTTCTAGCAATGTTACACAGGAATCTATTTTCTAGAGTATTGTTTTTACTGATAGATATGGAAGTAATGATTACCATTACAAATTATAACAGCACAATTAGAAGAAAGCCATGGAGAAGAGTAAGGCTTGGCTTGGAATCATTAAGAGGTAAAAGAAGATCCCATGCCAGTCTGAACTCAATAAGTAAGAAATGCATTTATTAGCAGGAAGAAAAAACGTTTACTACCCAAGGGTATAACCACAAAGAAACTCATGGAAAGAAGTACCAGTCAGTTTAAAGGTAATTGTATGAGGTTCCATAAAATAAAAGGGATATCCTGATGATGAAGAATTTAATCGCACAAGTTTTAATCTGTGTTAAATGCGCAGACTAATAAACAATTACCTAAGCACGTTAACTTATTATCTCTATCGTAACATATGAGCAAAAAACCTATACCGCTATTTTTGTTTACTTTAATTTTTTTTAAAACTCTCTTTCTTTCGTTTATTATAGTATATAATATCTTTATATATGTTATGTATGTAACATGTATTCACTAAAATAATCTATAATATTTAATTAATGTTTTAAATTGCTCCGCAACCCGGTTGAAAAAGTATTATAAAATCAAACCTCCAACTTTGGTTTTAACTTCAATTCCAGAGCTAATAGAAAGATATCTTTATATCTTTGAAAATGTTTTATTTATTAATTTTAAAAAAATTGTTAAAGATTTATAAAAAAAAAAAAAATGGAACTCAAGGATTTTAGCCTTTCACTTCAGAACACTGCAAGCTAACCACTTCAACCACTAAGTGTATTGTTTGTTGAATGTTTTAACACTATTTAATAAAGAAAAACTTTTTTCAATGTTAAACAAATGCCATAAAGCAAAATTAAAGAGTTGTTGCTGCAATGCTATTTTAAAGTAAAAGTAAAACTGTAAAACTTCATACTTTAACATTACATAATTCAAAGTTTACATATGTTAAATATTTGCTGACATTTTCTTACACAAAAAGAGCTGCAATTAACTCAGTGTAATGGCTGCAGTGAGTTCTGTGCAAACACAGAAATCAGTAACAGCAGGAGCAGCAGCATAACATTTGATATTAAAATATTGTAGGATTAAACCACTCAATGTTATACATATATGTATGTATATATATATATATATATATATATATATATACATATGTGTATATATGTATATATATATATATATATATATATATATATATATATATATATATATATATATATATATACATGTATATATAGGTATATATTTACAAGTATATATATATATAGGTATATATATATATATATATATATATATATATATATATATACATGTATATATAGGTATATATTTACAAGTATATATATATATATAGGTATATATATATATATATATATATATATATATATATATATATACAGCCTAGTATTTTTTATTGTTTTGTTTTTTATTAGGTCAACAATTTTAAGTGATCCTGATACAACATATTTTAACATTGCAAATTTGTTTGGAAATATGATTTATATAGTAAACGTATCTGCTAACACAAAGTATCAAGGAGTATTTAGCTCTGGAATTGAAGTTAAAACCAAAGTTGGAGGTTTGATTTTATAATACTTTTTCAACAGGGTTGCGGAGCAATTTAAAACAATAATTCAATATTATTGATTATTTTAGTGAATATATTTTTTTCACATTTTTTTTAAAAGTTATTGTTGTTTTTTTTTTGTTTTTTTAATTAAATAAAGGGGTTCATAAAAGTATAAGAAGTTTGAACTAATTACTTAAAGATGAAATTATTTGAAGGCATTATTTTGATAATCAATGATTTTCTAAATATAATCTTTTTTATTAGGCTCTACACCTCTGTTTTTTTAAGAGAAACTATTTTAAATCTAAAAATTTTAGACTAAAATTTAAAAACATTTTTAGTGCCTCTAGTTTCTGCTGTCAACTTTCGATGTGGTAAAATAACTTTTTATTCTATTACTGTATATTGGGACTCAACTCCTCCTGGGTATCTTCAAGGAGTACTAACAAATTATAATATAGCTTATAAAAAAGTTGTGAATGACTATTTTAAAAACGATTCATTACCTCAAAATGCTGCTAGCTATACTGTAATCAAAACTGATGCGTTCACTGAATATGTTATAGTATTGACAGCTTCAACCAAAGTTGGTAGTGGAAAAGAGTTGCAAGTAAATTGTAAAACTGATGAAGCAGGTTTGTTTACATTATATTATCTTAATGTACATTAGGCAAAAAATTAATCACAGATTTATGTTTCTGTAATAAGTATATATGAACGAACTAAAAAGAAACTGTTGAAAGAATGATAAATTTAAACAAGTTTTCTCAAATATAAGAAACAAGTTGTTTTTTTCAAATATGATTAACAAGTTTTGTTTTTCAAATATGATAAATAAGGTATTATTTAAAGTATAAATGATAGAAAAAGTGAATCTATAATGCACACGAAGATAACATAAGTATAGAATCTAATAATTTTTGTTGTATATTATTGGTAGAAAAATATGATTTTAAAGAACATTTTATTCTTTATTTTTGAAAATAATTTTTATAATTACTATTTTAAAAAGTTTATTATTTTAATTTAAAAATTTTTTAAAAATTTTAGTTCTAATAAAAATTTTGAAGAAAATTAATTTGTTTAAGATTATTTAAACAATTTTCAAAACTATTTAATTTTTAATCAGTACCTAGAACAGCCCCAACTGGATTGAATGCTACATCATTTTATTATCCAGATAAAACTTATGTTTCATGGAATCACATAATTCAAGGAGATTGGCAAGGAAAACCTTTGGGTTACATAATAGCATATAAGCTTCTTAATCAAGGAGACTTAGAAATTACTAATCAATCTTGGATAATGTTTAATTTATCTTATGTCGAACAATCAGTTCAACTTTATGACCTTCATGTTTATTCCCGTTATTCTCTCAAAATAGCTGGTTACAATAGGAAAGGTATTGGACCATATAGTAGTATAATTACATTTGGTAAGTTGCTTTATATTAATTATTTTTAAACTGGTTATAATAACTAAATAAAAAAGCTAACGTTATAATTTATAAATTATTTTTAGATACATGTCATATCTTTGATCCTGTCATTGAAATTGTTTACATTTCAATACCACCATTTGCAAGTTCAAGTATTTCCTCATCATATCGACCAGTAGGTGTAATGATAGCATCAACAGAACAATCATTGTTACTATGTGCTGGTGCTTGTACATCATTTTCAAAAAATATTTCATTTGTTTATAAAGAGGTTAAAATGACAAGTTTAGAGTTTGTAAAGTTCAATTCAACAGCAATAAAATTACCTGTGACAGTGCCTGTACAGGTTCTTGATAGTTCATATTCCTCGACTCTTCAGCTTCCAGGTTTTGTATTTGTATCAATTCAAAATAGTATACATGTTCAATTAAAAGAAAATGAACAATTAGTTTTTGGAAATATTTATATTGCTTTGGGAACATTTGGAATCTTTGTTTTATTGAATTGTTTGTTTGGTGTTATCTTGTTTTATTGTGTAAGTGTTTGCTGAACTTAACAACTTGTAAAGTATATTCTGTATCCTACATTGTTAAGAATATTGACTTTGAAAAGATTTTTTTTTAGCAACATGAAAATTCAACAAGACAAAGAAAAAGTCCATGTTTTACTTTGAGTGGTATATTTGAAGAAATATACTTTTCTATTATTACAATTACCACTGTTGGGTATGTAATAATAATTTTTTTAATTCATTTTTATAACTATTTACTCAAGTTAAATATATAAAATTTGGATTTTAGTAAGCTTTAATTTATTTATTTTTTAGTTTTGGGGACAAGACTCCGTCAACATTTTGTGGTAGAGTGTTATTAATAATTTGGACATTTATTGGTCTTGCCTTGACTTCAATATGTGTGGGAAATTTGATTTCAGCTCTGACTGTTGATGTTGTTAGCACAACCATCTACTCATATCCAAATGATAACGTGAGTCTGCTATTATAAAGCACAAATTCTTTTAAATTTCTTATAAAAACATTTTTTTAAAGAACTTTTTGCTATAGAAGTTGCTAATAGAATGCTAAGAAAAGTGAATGTTAACTCAGTCAGTTAGTATCAATTGGATCATGCGGCCTTCACACAATGCACTGTTCAAATAAAAGTGGTACAAATGCTTCAGAATGGATATTGAACAAATTGCTGCCTTTGTTGTATAAGATATTTCATGAAAGCCCTTCCTGCTGTGCTGATTTCAAAAATCCTTTTCAGGCTCAGTCTTCAGACCATGCTCTACAGTTCTGTAGCCATAGTTGGATGAAAATGAGAAAGTATCAAAGAGAGCTATGGAAATATGGCCTAAGATTATTGTGATTATTGATTTTTAGAAAATTTTACCAAAGCAACCTGGTCAATATAAGCCTAGCAAGCAACCTTGTCAATATAAGCCTAGGCAAAATACCACTTATGAATACCTTTCTTCATGCTATAAAGATGTGCTAGTCCCTATGAAGTTGCAATTTTTTAAAGAAACTGCAAAATTGTTAAATTCTTATTTGTTAGTTTTCCAAACCACCAATCCAATGACATCTTTTCTTGTGGAAACACTTGAAAATTTACTGAGGCTATTTTTATCAAAGTTTATCAGAATAGAAGATTTGTCTGAAGCATTTTAAAATTTGTCAAAGCAATTTTTAAATTATTAAAAGTTGATATCATTGATATCAAAAATCAAGTGTTGGTCACAAATATTGATCTTGAGTTTTGAATAAAATATGAGTTGCAGCAACTGAAATCTGGAAAAAATGTTACCGATGCACAAATATATAATTTTAAAACAGAAGTTCAACAGTTTTTAGTTACAATGTGTAAACATATGGTTGAAAAAAGTGTTCTAAACTTATATTTTGCCAGATACTTATTATGTTTATCACCTTTGTACATGGTGGAATTTCATGAGATGTGTGAACTTCATTTTGATAAGTTGTGCTGAAATTAGTTGCTTATAAAAAGGTATCACCTTCAGATGCTGATCAAGCCAAATTGCAGTATTCACAATTTTTAACTACTGTTGTGAAAGTGAACAAGGAGAAATTTTTTGGGTTCAAAAAGAAAGTGATAGATTGGATTTTTTATTGGTTCAATATACAGAGGCTTCAAGATTTAAGGGTTAATGAAAATTTATCAGTTGTTACTAATATTGTCTCATGGCCAATAGGGTGTGTCAATTTTTTTTTCAAATATCAAAAAAAAGTAGTAAAAAAAAGCAATGTTATTATTAGTTAAGAACAGAGAAATTTTAAAAATTAAATTTCATTAAGGGCTAGCTCAGTAATTTTTGATATGAATTTTTACACTTTTGGTCATTTAAACGTTTATTATTATTTTTTTAATTAAATTGCACTGATAATTGTTTTAATACTTATTATGATTTAGAACGTTCTTAATAAACAATAGTGCTTAAATACTGAAATTTAAAAATGTATATTTATATTAAGTAAGCGCTGGTGTTACCTAATAGTCATTTTTACAAGGCAATGCTGTGGCTAGAACCCCCCTTTCCCTGAAAAAAAAAAATAAGTGTAAGGGCTTGAAATTCTAAAAACCCTTCTACAATTAGGTATCATTAAAATACTGCTTAATTTGAAAAAGGGCCCCTAAAATCCCCCCTATTACCATATACCGTAGGGCTTAACCAATTCAAACTATTAAGATTATTAAAAATACAAGTTTTTAATTAAGACGTCGCTTTATAGTTTTTAGCTACTCCACCTGCATTTTAACAAGGGTTGCCA